CTATCAAATTCAGCTAAAGAATGCATGCCAACTTGCTTGGCTGTTAAAGGTTCTACTATTGCATCTTGTGAAAAAGCTTGTGAACAATTTGCCACCCAAATCCGTTCCAAAAATTAATTTAAATCCAATTTTTTTGTTGTTGTTATAAGAGTATGCTTGGCCTAGATGTCATGCCTATCTGCGTTTGTAATAGTATTTCACTTTGTATGATTTCTTATATTTTCTATGTCAATGGATGAGTTTGGGATGCAAATCTTAAATCATCCTACGCTAATGTAATTAATCTACTTCTAAGTCTAATACGTGAACTTCCACAACACTTCATCTTTTAATTTCCAAGAAAATGTAATTTTCTTTGGGCATCTGTCATTCACATACTTTGTCGAGATGATCTTGTACGTCTTTTGTGTCTCTATTATATATGTGTTTAATTTGAGGATGATGATAGTATATTAATGAATTCATCAACACACGCATTTAATTATATAGCAATAATTCGATAGTTGTATACGAGTAAAACCGAGCCCACCGAGCATCCCAGTTTCATGATGAGGAAAACGGAGCAGAAACGTGATCATAAGAAATCGGGATCAGAGCAAGGAGCCCCTCGTATCGGGGCTCGGGCAAAACACCTGTCCTTGGGGACATTGGGACCACGTCCTCTGGTTTAGGTTCGAGCCCCAAGACTTCAGAGAGCATTACCAAACAACCACATATAAAGGGCTGTGATGTCCGCGCCCAATACACATAAAGGGCTGTGATGTCCGTGCCCAATCGGATATCACGACGTGAATCTTGGTCCATATCAGCAGAAAACTAGTGATTAGCGAAGAGGAAGATTTTTACCCTTCTTAGAATTGTACTTAAGGTAAAACTCTCCTACTATATAAAGGAAAAATTTATTATTCATTAGGGACACTGTAACATGCATATCAAGGCAATATACTTTTGTTTTTGAAAGCTATTCAAAGTTCTTGTTCCTATTCATAAGTTATTCACAAGTGCAAGCTCGGAACCGAAAGCAGATCCCTCGTTAAGCCTTTAACCAAGCTCGGATTCACTCTTATAATTGATTTGGTCATTTATTACATCTTTTATTTGCTTAACCTAACCTCATTGATCACTTGTATTACACTAACCCACATATCCTTAAAATCGTGTATAAATTCAATTGTTATCCGTTTTTAAGGGTAAACAGTTTGGCGCCCACCGTGGGGCTAAGGATAATAGTGGTAACTTGATACAAATTTCTATAACACACCCTGTTTTACGCCTGTTCTTTGAGATTTCAATTTCAGGTCAATTTAAGAATGTCAAACTCTCAATCTGCTCACTTGAACGTTGATGCTGAGTCTGGCCACCATGGCGAGAACAACAATATAGTGCCCAGCAACGAGGTGCCCCCTGTTAACCCCAACGGAGTCCCGGTCGCGGACCTAATCGATGCCAACTCACATGTGGCCATCGACTTAAACTTGCCTACCGACCTAGAGAATAACGTTCGAGGAAGAGCCCAATCGGTAGCCCGGGTTACGCACGATGGTGAAGGCGATAGGATCAATTTGCGGGTGATCTTCAAAATGTTACAAGCTCAACAGGTGGCGATAGCCCAGTTACAAAACCAAAACTGCGCCCGCAGCAAAGTTGAGCCTGACCATCCCGGGAAAATATCCAAAGAAATGAATAAACCACGGAAAGGCTGGGTGAAGTTGAACCCGGTACCAACCCCGAAATAATAAAGATGCTTGAAGAACTAACAAAGCAGGTGGAATTGGGGGAAAAAAGATCGAAGCCAACGACAAAAAAATGGAGACCTATAACTCCAGGGTTACTTAAATCCAGGGAGCACTCCTGATATTGAAAGGCCTAGTGTCACGCCCCGAACTTGGGAGCGAGACCCACATACAGTGCCTCACCTATCCTTGCGTACCAACTTACAACTAAGGGGCTGTGAACATATGATGTAATACTTTGGCCATGGGCTACATTGTAAGACGACTTCGAATGCTGACTAAATGTCAATATAAAACTGGGTCGACAAGGCCGTCATAATTATTACAGCTGACAAACCAACCAAATATACATACAAGGCCTGGAAGCCCAACATACTACACTAACTGACAGGATATGTCTACAAACCTCTACTGATGAATATACTGTGATCGGAACAGCTCCCCGACCTACTCATAACATATATACATATATATACAAGATGTACATAAGGCTCTAGACCCGGAAACTCCGAAAGGCATAGAGCTTACCGATCAAGCTGAACTCGGGCAACACTTATTGAGAAGGCCTACCTGTCTGTCAGTCTGAACCTGCACGCATGAAATGCAACACCCCCAGAAAAGGAACGTCAGTACAAAATAATGTACCAAGTATGTAAGGCAATATACTGAAAGCTAAAACTGAACTGATAATATAATAACTGCAAGTAGCTGGAAGTCAAAGATAATCTGAAGATATGCTTACCTGCTGATACTGACTTAACTCTCTCAATAAAGTAAGTAAAATAGTTGTCCGACCCTATAAGGCTCGGTATACATATATATTTGCTCTGCCGTAGTAGGCTCGCTCATAAGCGCTCGGCCATACTAGGCTCTGTATCTCGACCAACTGGGCTCGCTCATAAGCGCTCGGCCATAGTAGGCTCGGTATATAACTTACCATCTGATTGGAGGTTGCCCAATAGGGTCCTGCCCATCGATTATAGCTCGATGGTAATGAAAATACTTTTAATACTGTATATATGTGAACTCTCTGCTCTCTTGACTGGAAGAAGGAAATACTCAACTGAATATGAAGTCCCGATAAGGATATAACTTACAAAACTAGGAAATATACGCAATTTGCAAGACTAACAAAATATACGTAAATTCCGGGATATGAATTTTTCTTTATGACTCGTTATCAAACTTGTGTAACGACGAGATCATGCCAAAATAAAGAAAGAGCTTAACCTTAACATACCTATTCCTGAAATTTATTTGAACAAAATTGTTGTTCTTTGAATTTCCAATCGAACCTTGGCTAAATAATTTGGACGAAAACAATCTATTCCAGGTTCTTGGATTTAAAAATTCACAGCAGAATTTTGATGAGCCTAAGAAATTTTGGACGAAATGGAATGCTTCTTGGCTTAAATGCCAAAGTATTGCTTTTGTTAGTTCTTGACAAAATGATGGTCTTGATCATATAAGATTTCCAAGTTAAGCTTTTGACACCTATTAAAGGTGATTGATGAATCACCTTGATAAACGGAGGGGGCTGCCACGTACCTCCTTGGGAGGTGATTTTTTTTTTAAATTTATCCACTCATTATAACCGGGTAATGTTTCGTTACCCGGTAATTAATCTATTATCCGCATAATTTAAGAATTATCAGAAATTATTTAAAATTCTATTTATTTTCAAAATACTTCATATATTACACTACCGTGGTCATATGGTACTTTGCATGGCACCAATTTATAATTATCGGATATTATTGCTCGACCCGTATTTTATTCCAAATTGGTCATTCCCAATAAAACTCATTTTCGTTAATCCGCGTAATCCATTATCCTTCATAACACTTATTCATTGCTTGTTATAAATAACATAATCCTTATAATCTCCAAAAATATTTTACCTGGACTGATGTCAATTACCTTACGACAAATCCAACGTACAACACTACAGGGTGCAACATCGTCGTAACTTAATACTGCAAAGCGTAATATCGACGTAATATTGCGGGGCGTAACACCTAGATTCCAAGAAATTTGTCCAAAAGCCTTTCCCTCCGAGCGCGGCTCTAAAGCCAGTCTCGAAGAAGTTCTGTATGCCCGAAATTCCGAAGTATAATGGAACAATAGATCCAAATGAACATGTGACCTCCTGCACGTGTGCCATCAAGGGGAACGACTTAGAAGATGACGAAATCGAGTCTGTTCTGCTGAAAAAGTTCAGAGAAACCCTATCAAAAGGAGCTATGATATGGTATCACAACTTACCCTCTGATTCTATTGATTCGTTTGCTATGCTTGCAGATGCATTTGTAAAGGCGCACACCGGGGCCATCACGGTCGAGACCAAGAAGTCAGACCTTTTCAAACTAAAGTAAAGAGATAACAAGATGCTTAGGAAATTTGTGTCGAGGTTTCAAATTGAGCAAATAGATCTGCCTCTAGTCGCAGACGATTAGGCCATTCAGGCATTCACCCAAGGACTCAACCCCCGAAGCTCCTTGGCTTAATAGAAGTTAAAACAAAATTTGATAGAATACCCATCGGTAACTTGGGCCGATGTCCATAACAGGTACCAATCAAAAATCAGAGTCGAAGACAATCAGCTGGGGGCTCCCTCCAGGTCCGTGTATCCCATCAAAACTAGTGACAGGACTAAAAGAGACGTCGATCATGAATCAAGACAGAACAGAGATCAGTATCAACCATATAGCAGAGATCGAAGGGTAACAAATTCACATGTAACCTTGAAAGGAGTGAAAAAGGATCAATCGAGGCCACAATAGTCGGGGACTCATGAGTAAACACGGTTTTGACAGGCCACTCGGGGCCAAGGAGGCACCAAGATTATCGGAATACAATTTCAGTGTTGATGTCGCCGACATTGTATTTGCCATTTGATCCTACCCAAAGGGACCCCAACCTGATGTGTAAGTATCATGGCACTCATGGTCATAGGACCGAAGACTACCGACAACTAAGAGAAGAAGTGGCCGATTATTCAATAACGGGAACCTCCGAATATTTCTGAGTGATAGAGCCAAAAATCATTTCACGAATAGGGACTCCAACAAACAAACCGAACAAGAGGAACCCCAGCATGTCATCAACATGATCATTGGTGGAGTCGACGTCCCTTAGGGGCCAATACTAAAATGCACTAAGGTGTCCATCACAAGGGAAAAACGAACTCGAGATTACATGTCGGAGGGGACCATCTCTTTCAACAATGAGGATGCTGAAGGCATCATGCAATAATATAATGATTCAATGATAATATCTGTACTCATAAATAAATCTCGAGTTAAGCGTGTGGTAATTGAACCAGGTAGTTCAGCCAATATCATTAGATCGAGGGTCGTAGAACAACTGGGTATACAAGACCAAATAGTTCCTGTAGTCCGGGTTTTAAACGGATTTGACATGGCATGTGAGAGTACTAAAGGGGAAATAACCCTACCGGTGAACATCGTCGAGACCATTCAGGAGAAGAAGTTCTATGTGATTGAAGAGGATATGAGATATAATGCTCTATTCGGAAGGCCATGGATTCACAACTTGAGGGCAATAACCTCGACACTACACCAGGCACTGAAGTTCCCCACACCGGGAAGGGTCAAGATGGTTTACGGGGAGCAGCCGGCCGCAAAAGAAATGTTCATGGTCGATGAGGTGATCCCAATTTTGACACTCTTGAAATCAAAGAACCTGGAGCCTATTAGGAAGGAAGGAACTAAATAGCAATCACCGACACCGACCAAATCGGAGAAGCAAGAAGCGAGCGAGGATGATGATTATGGAGTTCCTAGGTCGTTCATCACCCCTGACAATTTCTATGCCACCAAATTAACGGTCGAGGAGCTAGGGCAAGTCATACTGATCAAACACTTGCCCAATTGGAAGGTATACCTGGGCACGAGGTTAACCCCCGAGCTCAGGAAAAGACTTACTAATTTCCTTATGGTTAAGTAAATTGTTTCGCTTGGTCCCATATAGACATGACAAGGATTCTACCTGAAATAACCACTCATAAACTAAGCTTGGACCCGAAGTTCCACCGGGTTAAACAGAAGAGGAGGCCTCGGTCCAAAGTCAAGCATGCATTCATCAAAGACGAGGTATCTAAACTCCTTAGAATAGGTTCCATTCGGGAAGTTAAGTACCCGTATTGGTTGGATAACATAGTAGTAGTGCTTATAAAGGGAAATAAATTAAGAATGTGCGTAGATAACAAAGACTTGAACAAGGCGTGCTCCAAGGATTCTTTTCCTTTGCCTAACATCGATCGCATGGTCGATGCAACGGCTGAGCATAAGATATTCAGCTTTGTCGACGCCTATTCCGGGTACAACCAAATCCGGATGGACCCGAGCCATCAAGAAAAAACTTCTTTTTTTACTAAATTCGGCACCTATTGCTATAACGTAATTTCATTCGGACTAAAAAATGCTGGTGCCACTTATCAACGCCTAGTAAACTGGATGTTCAAAGAACAAATAGGAAAATCAATAGAAGTTTACAATGATAACATGTTAGTTAAGTCCATGCGAGCAGAGGACCATTTAAAACATTTGCAAGAAACCTTCAACATACTGAAGAAATATAATATGAAGCTGAACTCGGAGAAATGCGCATTTAGGGTCGGATCCGGAAAGTTCCTTGGATTCATGGTCTCCAACTGAGGGATCGAGATCAATCCCGACAAAATAAAAGGTATAGAAGATATCACCGTGGTGGACAATGTCAAGGCCGTTCAGAGGCTAACCTGGCGCATAGCCGCCCTGTGCCGGTTCATAGCGAGGTCCTTCGCTAAGAGCCATCAGTTCTTCTCATTATTGAAGAAGAATAATAACTTTTCATGGACCCCAGAATGCCCTCAAGCTTTGGGGGAACTCAAACGATGCCTTTCGAGTCCACCCTTGCTCCACACTCTAAAGGCAGATGAGTAGTTGTACTTGTACTTAGCAGTATCCGAGATAGCAGTAAGTGGAGTCTTAGTCCGGGAAGATGAAGGTACGCAATTTCCTATCTATTATGTCAATAAAAATCTAGGTGAGGCCGAAACAAGGTATCCTCATCTAGAAAAATTGGTGCTCGCTTTTCTAAGAGCCTTCAGAAAGTTAAAGCAGTATTTTCAATGCCATCCCATATGTATTGTAACTTCTTACCCACTAAGGAACATAATACACAAACCCGAGCTCTCGGGCCGGTTGGACAAATAGGTCGTATAAATTAGCGTGTACGATATCGAATATCAACCCCGGACGATCAATAAAACCCCAAATTTTGGCAGACATCATGGCCGACTTTACGCTGGCCTTAATACCTGAAATTGAAAAGGAATTGTTGTTAACCCCGTGAACTTCCTTGGGAATCTGGACCCTATTTAAGGATGGTGCCTTGAGCGCAAAAGGGTCCGGACTCGGCGTCGTATTGAAGCCGCCTAAGGGTAATGTAGTTAGGTAGTCTATTAGAACTGTGAAATTGACTAACAATGAGGCCGAGTATGAAGCCATGATTATAGGTCTTGAACTGTCTAAAAGCCTAGGGGCCGAAGTGGTCGAAGCTAAGTGAGACTCCCTTCTTGTGGTAAATCAAGTCAATGGGACATTCGAAGTTAAAGAGGAACAAATACAAAGGTACCTAGACAAATTACAGGTCACACTGAATCAATTCAAGGAATGGATCCTACAGCACGTGCCCCGAAATCAACATAGCGAAGCCGATGCTCTGGATAACTTGGGATCATCGGTCGATAACGATGAATTCAACTCAGGAATGGTCGTACAACTCATGAAATCGATAGTGGAAGAAGGTCATGCTGAAATAAACTCAACAAGTTTGACTTGGGACTGGAGAAATAAGTACATAGACTACTTGAAGACGGGAAAGTTGCCATCGGATCCTAAATAATCGAGAGCTTTGTTCACGAAGGCAGCCATGTTTAGCCTATCCGAAGATACTCTGTCCAAAAAAACATTTGACGGCCCGCTTGCCATATGCTTGGGGCCAGGAAACACCGAATATGTTTTAATGGAAGTTCATGAAGGTACATGCGAGAATCATTCAGGGGAGGAGTCTTTGATTTACAAGATAATCAGAGCCGGCTATTACTGGATCGACATGGATAAAGATGCAACGGACATTGTACAAAGATGCAATGGCTATCAGAGTCATACACCGATGATCAATCAGCCCAAAGAACCATTACACTCGGTCTTGTCACCTTGGCCGTTCATGAAATGGGCATGGACATTGTCGGTCCCCTATCGTAGGCACCTGGTAAGGCTCAATTCATATTCTTTATGATTGCCCATTTTTCTAAATGGGTCAAAGCTCAGGCGTTTGAGAAAGTCCGAGAAAAAGAAGTCATTAATTTTAGTTGGGACCACATAATAATCCGGTTCGGGATACCGACCAAGATCGTGTGTGATAACGGGAAGCAGTTCATCGGCAGCAAGGTAAACAAGTTCTTCGAAGACCACAAGATCAAAATGATTCTATCCACCCCTATCACCCTAGCAGGAACGGACAAGCAGAGTCTACAAACAAGACCATACTCCAAAATTTGAAAAAAAGACTAATCGATGCCAAAAGAAAGTGGAAGGAAATTATGCCCGAAGTCTTGTGGCCATACCGTACGACCTCTAAATCTAGTATAGGGGCCACTCCGTTTTTATTGGTATACGGTGCCGAAGCACTAATATCAGTCGAAGTGGGGGAACCAAGCCTCAGGTTCCCATATGCGACTGAAAAATTAACGGTGAGGCTATAAACACGAGCTTGGAGCTATTGGACGAGAGGCGCATGGCCGCCCTAGTCTGGTTAGATGCCCAGAAAAAACAGATAGAAAGATATTACAACCGAAGAGCCAACCTCCAACACTTCAAAATCGGGGACTTGGTTCTAAGAAAAGTAACGCTGCATACCCGAACCCGAATGAGAGGAAGTTGGGGAGAATTGGGAAGGACCATATCGAGTCATCAGAATTACAAGCAAGGGCTTGTACAAACTCAAAGCAGGAAACGGAGCTCAACTACCAAACAACTGGAACGTGGCGCACTTAAGGTGATATTATTTCTTAGTCAATGACCAAGGGAAAGTATGACTATTAAGTCTGAAAGCACACGAACTCTTTTTCTCTTGAACCGATTTTGTCCCCAATGAGTTTTCCGCCAAGGTTTTTAACGAGGCAACAGTGGATCGTACTAACTTAGATTCAAAAACCGATTTTAAATCAGAGTTCATGGTTGCATCAATATTATCCTAGCCCTCTCAAAGATTGACCTCGAATATTGGGGGCTATCACCCTCGGGTTAGACTTCTTAGCAAGGAAAGAAAGGAACTTTGTACTTGAACAGCTTAGGCCCGGTGGTTAGGATTTATTGTAAGGGCCAAACAGTCAAATGAATCGTGCCCGTATAGGCCACCGTAGCCGTAATACAAGTTTTTACTCGCCTTTGATCATGTACATTACACATAGAGATGAAAGAAAGTTCTCACCTTGCTATTACATATTTTTGCCTTTTAAAAATAGCGAGTCTAAGGGATATCCTTATTCGGGGACTACGAGCTCAAAGGCTACCCTTACCCAAGCCTAAGGATATCCCTATTTGGGGACTATCGAGCCCACGGACTACCCTCGCTCGGGGACTATAATGTGAAACAAATTCAGGAATCTCGGGCTATCAAATACTGGAGGCACAAAACCTATTAGGTAGTGCCTAAACCCGTAAAGGCTACGACCACGGTAACAACGGCTCAGAGACGTCTGAAGCGCGTTATCAAAATATAAGGCTTTCAATAAAAATTTAAAACCTTCCAAAAGGTTACCCTCGGCAAAAAATATCGTCTAAGAATACTTAAGCATTTTTGAAAACTCCCGGTCACTTCGAGTTTTTGATGCTTCGAGCAGATAATAAATTACATCGAGGTCAGGTTCTGTCGGGCCTCCAAAAATCAAATGACTTGTTAATACATTAGATTCTATGCTCTGTCGGGCCTCCAAAAATCAAATGACTTGTTAATACATTAGATTCTATGCTCTGTCGGGCCTCCAAAAATCAAATGACTTGTTAATACATTAGATTCTATGCTAAGGCATTAGAAATATTTACAAGAATGGAAATTGTGAAAAGATGCTAAAATAGTTGAAATTGCCAAAAAAGGGGGAGATTTTATATATTCAGGAATATCTTTACATATGACCAACAAAAAATGGCCTCAAAATAAACAAAAAATTTGTACACAAAAACTACAAAATCCTAAGGCATTCATGTATAATCCTCACCGGAGCCCAATTCGTTACCAGAACCATTGGGGCCTTCGGAGGCCTCAAAACCCTCGGAGCCCTCTTCACCTTTGGGTTCGGCTAGTCTTTTGGCATCGACCTCAAGATCTTTTTCCTCCTCGACCTCGGCAGACAAGTCTAAACCTCGAGCATGGATCTCTTCGATGGTCTCACTTTGAGACAGTCACCTTACATATTCAACATTGATCTTCAGGAAGGCCTCGACTGCCTCAACATCGGCCTTGTATTGGTCCACCATCTCCTCGTTAGCGACAGAGTTTGTCTTCAGCTGGGAACTCGTAGCTTCAAGATCTCTCCCAAGGGCATCCCGTAATGTGGTGGTCAAATTCTGCTTTTCTCGAAGATCTTCATTTAGCTGAGCCCGTTTATCAACTTTTTCCTTTGCCACCCTAAGGTGAACCTCTACCGAAGAAAGCTTGGCCTGGGTGGT